CACACACACACACACACACACACACACACACACACACACACACACACACACACACACACACACACACACACACACACACACACACACACACACACACACACACACACACACACACACACACACATATATATATATATATATAATAAGTATAGTGCATTAAAAGTTTATTATTAAATATGAAATATTTTTAAAAAATAGTATAAGAACGTAATGCCACAGTATATCCAGTAGTGACAGCGGACGAAAATCATGGGATAAAATCTGAGAGTATATGCACGAAAAATTATAATGTGCGGCGTTACTTGCTGTCCACATCAGATCACAGCCGTGATTTGATTCATACAACACTCGTGAGTATTATTTATTCTTTATATAACATTTAATAAATAACAAAAACGTCATAATTATGCTATTAATGGTAATACTTTCATTATATTTTATAACAACAATTTAGTCAATTTATAATATGTAATAATATTTTTTTATTCTATTCATGGTTGCGTTTCAAGACTGAAAAAGATTTTGGTGCATAGAAAGAGTTTGTAGAATTAGTTTTGTACATAAATTCACAATGAAATATTTCCGTATTAAAATTTGCTTCGACAGAAAATAAGATTTCTTCTTACTTGACTAGACTTATTTTCATATCGGTTCAGTTTCAAATTACAATTATTAATAATTACCTTTTGAAATTTAACACTTTTCTACATCAAAGATGTGACGATAAATTATGTGATTCTCAAATCACAACATTGTACTTGCTGTCGCTATTGATTGTATTGTGGCAATTTTATCTCTGAGATAATTATTTTTTAAATGTTTGTTTTTCGTTTTACAATTTATTTAAATATGGAAAGTGGTTTATTGTCGATATGTCTTGATTACACATTCACATTTTTAATTTTTTAGCGTACCGTAATGATATAATATCCGAGCATACATAAGTTAAATGTGCATCCTAGCAATTCTACAAAACATATCTGATTTAAAAGTGCTTCCATTTGTGCCACGAAACTGTAAAGAACGTAAATTACAGTCATATTTTACATATATAAATTTTTTTCGAAACTAAATTATATTGAGAAAAGAAAAAAGAAGATAAGATATAGAGTTTCGAATTGGCTATTAAAGACCAAAGACATCAAACTATAAAGGACTTTATTTTTCATATATTAAGCAGAAATATCAACTTACGAAATTTATGTCGGTATTACCTTAACACTCGTAGATGGTGCTCCACAATGATCGCCAATCGATGCTGTACCATATCTTGCTGCTTTCGATCGTCCAGCTGGTCCAGCCATCTCATCAGTATATTCAATTGTCCGCACGCATGCATCGCAAACACCGCTGCGAGACTGCAGGCTCCGGCTGTGACGGAATTGACGACGATGCTCGAGATAAGCTGTATGATTAACGCGATTTCGCCTGCTGGACTCTTTGTAATATCTACGAACTTGCTATACGTGGGACACGGTAACCTATGCACGGATACGCTCACATTTCCGATATATACAAATGTTGGTAATAAAATGCCTTGTATCAAGCTGTGCGAGAACACACCGCCGTGCATGAAAACTGCGCATAACCCTGCGACAAAACGACCAAATTTAGCATATTTCAGCATCACTTGCCGGTCTCCTATCTCTGTTATCATTCGCCAATCGGTCTTCACGTGCTCCACGCAACGATGTATATCGCGGCTGCGAAACAGCAAGGAGAAATAATTCATGCCGCCCATACACCAGTGACTTAACGGACCAACAGCTCTTAGTTTATTCTGCATACTGATCTCTTCGAACAGGATGTTCAGAATACAAGGTACGACTGTGTAGGCTATCAATGAGTAGCAGATAATTATTAGTATTGTTGAAATCACCTTTTCTCTGACTGTTGTGGAGGCTGAACTTGGCCAAGCGCCCACCAATTTTAGAAACCAACGATTCAACTGAATACTGTAATCACTCGCGTCCCGATGTAACATGACAGATTTACTGATATCCATGATTGTTCGCGCAACGCACGGATGCTACTGAATCGACTTAAACATGCGTGCAGTTGACAGAAAAAGTGGCGCCTGCGCCAGCGAGTATCTTAGTAATAGGTAATAATAGGATATTTGTGCGTCTCGTCAGTCGATCGATACTCGCGGAGTACGTTGCACGTGGTGTCTCGTAAACGAATTTACTGTAACATATATTCGCGAAGACATAAATTGTTTTTTTAATATAAAACTTTATATATGTATATATAATTCATTTCTTCGGGAATATTAAGCAGAAGAGAAATTATTTTCTTATATAAAAATACCCGTATTCTCAAGGAGACATTCCTTCTATAATCTCCTATCTCTCGTAAGAAATATTTTTAATGTTAAGAATAATTTTCTATTTATTACATAAAAATATGGTATATGTTTTAATTACATCACCAAAAGTTGCGATTGACAATTTGAAAGAATTTCCAGTAATAATCTCCTGATAATATTACTATCATACTATATATTATCAGAATGTTGATATCCATTTTAACGCTATAATTATATACCGATTAATCATAAATGTCTTTGGCCAATATTTTTGCACTAATAAATTCATTAATGTAGATGTTCGTAAAATTTCTATGTAAGCGTTCTTTATATTTTTAAAAATGTGAAAGAAAGTAAGAAACAATTCAAGTCACGAAACCCGAAATCGTTAAACGTTCATAGAATAATTAATTTGCAGTATTCTTAAGCATAAGGCATCAAGTGGCTTGCCGCTCGATGCGATTAATTCACGATCTGTAATCCGGATTCAATCCCACCTGCGCTCACATACGTGATTTTTCACGTTTAAGGATGCCAAAAATGGCTTCCCTGGTCATTAAGAGATTTTTGATCGCCACCGCCACTTAGATGAACTGTAAATCTCATGTATCATTAGATATATATATGTCCTAAGTTGGAAATTGGACATTAGGCTAACCTAATTTCAGGAAAAATCTATTGTTATTGAAACTTCATTAGAGGCCCTATGCACCACGCATATAGAACTATAGAAACTTACATACAGTCTTGATCATGAGCACAATAATTTGGGGGGGTATTTCTAAATAGTTTTCATAAATTTTGAGGAATTACCTGTTTTGTGAGAATCTTGCCGATGTAACAAAATATTAAAATATTTAACCATAGATACGATATGATAATATATGATGTTATTCGTGCTGCATCAAGATCACTCCAATTCTAGAAAATCAGAAATTCTTATTAACATTGTCTAAATAAACAGAGTACTGATAACATATATTTACACTTTAACGTACCGTAATAGATTATTATAATATGCAAGTAAACTACATATATTTTTATAATCATGAGAATCATAGTAAATTTCTATGGATATTTTTATATTTATTATGACACAAAGGATAATAATATTAAAGGTCGAAATATGTTTTATCACTCCTTACATTGATTGTAATATCAATATTTATAGTAGCAACGGAAACACCTAAACTCGACTAAAATAGCCTTTATTTATTTATTGTTTGAATTTTTATCATTAGATCCTTCATTTTAATTGTCAATAATTTTTATATATTTTGTATTATATTTTCGGGATATAGAAAAAATATACTACATGTTTTGATATCCTATATTTTATTAATAATTTATACCACAGTTTGTAAAGTTATAGTGATAACTAGAAAATTTGCTAACACTTTATACAAAATGGTGTAATTATTATTGTCTAAGAAGCTGTGATGGTCCGAAGCATGTTTAGATATATCATGGAGGTTTTCATCACCTAAAACAATTTGAAACATATATTTGGCTGTAAAAAACATAATATACATATTCGTATACGTACATCACCAAAAGTTGCAATAGAAAGATGAACTAGTTTCCCTGCAGTTAATTTAATTACGCTACTCGATCGGGAGATAATTAGAATAAGACCTCGAGCTGTTTTATGCGGTAAACAATACCAGTTAGTCATATAAACTGTCTCGCCTACTTGTTTACACTGTTAAATTGTTTATTTTATATTATTTATTATATGAAAAAGTATGATAATAGCATATATTTAATTTTTTATATAATATTGATAAATCCTTTATTAGCGAATATTACGCTATATTACTTTTATTTTACCTGTTCCGTAACTATTTCGCCAATATAACAGAATATAAAAATATTGAAAGTCATGGATATGTATATAATCATATAAGCTACTGACGTTTTTTTTTCTATTACATTCCATCCCTGAAAATGATTAAGTAATTTACTAATAATTCATCTTATCTTTATTATTTGTGTGTGAGATAAAATTAAATTTTATTGATAACACAGTCAAATAATAATATAATATAACAATTTAATATACGCAAAAGTTTTTTATTTCTGTATTGTTAGATTGGTGCACACAATGCAGGAATAGACCTATTAACCAATAGTGACAGCTGAGACGTGTTCAGATTCCCACTCGAGTGCTTCCCGAGTGTTATGTCATCCTTGTTTAATATTCGGTAAACAATAAGGATAGAATAATATCTGGATAGCACTCGGGTTGGAATCTGAACATAGTCCTGATAAAAATCGTGGGTCAGTGTCTGATAGTATGTATATGCCCGAAAAATTATACTAATAATATAACGGCGTAACTATATATACCTGGACACGTATTATGGAAGAAGTCGGAATGGATTTCGACCGAAATTATTCGATTATTTCCTACATTTCTATTTGGTTTTGTAGGGAAAACAGAATAATTCCAATCGAAATCCATTCCAACTTGTTTCACGAATAGGGGCCATGATATCAAATTATGCGATTCGATTCATGCTTACAATAGAAATGATTTCTATATATTGTATATATCTTTGTTTATTATATTCATTAAATATTAAAGTGAAATTATAAATAAACTTATTATTAACTAAATCGTTACTTTTTCTTTTTACTATGAATTTAGTTTGAAAATATTAATAATTTATTTTTAGTATGTATTTAATAGTTTACTTTCAAAATTTAGCACTTCTTGACATCAAGGTTATAATAGTAAGAGATGTGTTTGCAATCATCAAAGATCTCGATACTAACACTATGATTATATTATAGTAATGCTTCCTCTACGATTAATTATTACTTGCACGTGCGTCTTTAATATCGTAATTTATTTAAAAATAAAAACGTCGCACAATGCGATATGTCTTCAAGTATATATTCACCTTTTTAATTTTTTAGCGTACCGTAATGACATAATATCCGAGCATACATAAGTTAAATGTACATCCTAGCAATTCCACAAAACATATCTGATTTAAAAGCGCCTCCATCCGCGCCACGAAACTGTAAATAAATGACTGTTATATTTTTACGTATATAAATACTATTTTCTTAGAATTAATTTATAATATTCAGAAAATAAAATATAAAGTGAGCAGATAATTTTAGATTAGCTTAAGAATCAAAGACAAAAAATATAAAGAATTTTATTTTTTATTCATTAAGCACACAATACACACAGAAATATTAACTAATTGTCAAACTTTTTAAATTTATGTCGGTATTACTTTAACACTCTCAGGTGATGCTCCACAATGATCGCCAATCGATGTTGTACCGTATCTTGCTGCTTTCGATCGTCTAACTGGTCCAACCATCTCATTAATACATTCAACTGTCCGCACGCGTGCATCGCAAACACCGCCGCGAGACTGCAGGCGCCAACCGTGACGGAATTGACGACGATACTTGAGATAAGCTGCAGCGTTAACGCAATCTCGCCGGCTGGGCTTTGCGTGGTATCTACGAACTTACTGTACGAGGGACACGGTAATATATGCACCGACACGCTCACGTTCCCGATATATTCGAACGTCGGCGTGGTACCTTGCAGTACGCTGTGAGAGAATACTCCGCCATGCATGAAAATTGCACATAACCCGGCAACGAAACGGCCGACTTTGGCATATTTCAGCATCACTTCCCGGTCCTTGATTTCCGTTATCGTCCGCCAATCGGTCTTCATGTGCTCCACGCAACGATGTATATCGCGGCTGCGAAACAGCAAGGAGAAATAATTCATGCCGCCCATACACCAGTGACTTAACGGACCAACAGCTCTTAATTTTTTCTGCACATCGGTTTCTTCGAACAAGATGTTCAGAATGCAAGGTACGACCGTGTAGGCTATCAGAGAGTAGCAAATGATTATCGATATCTTTGAAATCATTTTTTCTTTGACAGTCGTCGTGGCTGAAGTTGGCCAAGCGCCTACTGGTTTTAGAAACCAACGATTTAATTGTATACTGTAATCACTCGCGTCACGGTGTAACATGTCAGGTTTACTGACGTTCGTGACTGCTCACGGAACGCGCGTATGCTACTGAATCGATTTAAACGCACGTGCAATTGATAGAAAGAGGCGCCTGCGCCAGCGAGCAACTTTGCAATAGGATATTTGTGCGTCTCGTCAATCGATCGATACACATGGAATACACTGCACGAGATGTCTCGTGAATGAATTGACACATAGTTTCGCGAAAACATTAATTTATTGTTATTCAGATATTTACATAAATTTATTACACAAACTTGCATACGTAATTCAGATAAGATTATAAACTTTGTTATTAGATAACCATATTGAAGATCGAAACATTTGTTCTATTTTTTTTACATTGATTGTTTAATATCGATATATTTAGTGGCTAAAAGACACTTTAGCTCGGTTCAAATATTCTTATTTATTTGTTGTTTGAATTTCTACTCATTAGAGTCTTATATTTGTTAACAAAAAACTTGTATTTATTATTATATTTTCAGGATTAAAAAATTATCTATAGGCAATTGATGTCTGGAATTTTATTAATAATTAATACAATTATTCAAATATAAGTAAAGTTACGGTGGTAACTAAAAAATTTGTTAATGCTTTGTACAAAGTGTAACTATTATTGTCTAAGAAGCTGTCATGGTCCGAAGCATATTCAGATACACCATGGAGGTTTTCATTACCTAAAACGTTTCGTAAATGTATTTAGCTGTAAAACGTAACATACATTTTTATGCACTCACATTACCAAAGGTTTCGATAGAAAGATGAACTAATTTCCCTGCAGTTAATTTGATCACATTACTTGATCGGGAGATAATTAAGATGAGATCACGAGCCGTTTTATGTGGCATATGATACCAATTAGTCATGTAAGCTGTTTCGCCTACTTGTTTACACTATTAAATTATTTATTTTGTGATATTAAAATTGTGATATTTGCTTGTATTTGGTTTGTTTAACTGATGAATATATATATATATATTCTCTAATATTGTACTATAAAATTTTAATTTTGTATATATTTATATTTTACCTGTTCTGTGACTGTTTCACCAATATAACAGAATATAAAAATGTTGAAAGCCATGGATAGATATATAATACAAGTTATCAAACAATCCATTGATATTTTTGTTTCTAATGTACTCCATTTCTGAAAATTTTTGGATAATGTATTGTGATAATTTGTAATAGAATTTATATTTAATATATTATTAATAAAATATTAAATATAATATTATTAAAAATTTCAAATAATATAAAAACGCAGTGTCATAGTACATCCATAGCGACAGTGTAAAAAATAATAATCATAGGTTAAAATCGGAAATTGTATGCACAAATATGACACTAACGATATTATAACATTGTACTCCTACGGTTCAATTCACGCTTACAACTCGTGATGATTAATATTTGTCTTTGTTTAACATTTAATAAACAGAGAGAATGAAATAATTAGTTTTTATTTTATTTATTATATTTTATAAAGAGAATAAAGTGGAATTAATAAACTTGTTTTTAAATAAAACATTTTTTGTTTTTGCTATATAAATAGTTTTAAAATATTAATATTTTATTTTTAACACTTATCTTTTTATGCTTATTTACATAAAGATCATACGAATGAGTTATGTGATTCGAAATTACATCAAAGTTATCGATACCTTTTGTCGTTACTAGTTATACTGTGGCAATGTTTTTTCCACGATTTATTGCATGTGCGCCTTTCATATTGTAGTTTATTTAAAAATAAAAAGTTGCACAATGCGATATGTGTGTCGTAATTCCATATTCACCTTTTTAATTTTTTAGCGTACCGTAATGATATAATATCCGCACATACATAAGTTAAACGTACAGCCTAGCAATTCCACAAAACATATCTGATTCAAAAGTGTTTCCATTCGTGCTACGAAGCTGTAAATAACGTAAATTACTTATATCTTATTTTTATACATAAAAACATATAAATATTTATTGTACAAAATTATATTATTGAGAGAAGACACAAGAACGTAAGGTGAAATAAATGTTTGAATTATTATTATAATAATTGAATTATATTATAATAATTGAAAATTGAATTATATTATTACAATAATTGAATTATATTTATAATAAAATTACCTTAACACTCTCAGATGGTGTTCCACAATGATTACCATTTGGTGCTGTACGGTCTCTTGCCGCTTTCGATCGTTCAACTGATTCAACCATCTCATCAATACATTCAACTGGCCGCATGCATGCATCGCAAATACCGCCGCGAGACTGCAGGCGCCGACCGTGATGGAATTGACGACGATACTTGAGATAATTTGCAGCGCTAATGCGATCTCGCCCGCTGGGCTCTGCGTGGTATCTACGAATTTACTGTACGAGGGACATAGTAACACACGCACCTTCACACTCACGTTTCCGATACATTCATAGTTCGGTATGACACCTTGCAGTACGGTATGTGAGAACACGCCACCATGCATGAAAATTGCGCAGAGCCCGGCGACTAAACGGCCGACTTTGGCATATTTCAGCATCACTTGTCGGTCCGCGATCTCCGTCACCATTTGCCAATCCGTCCTCATGTGCTCGATACAATGATGTATATCGCGGCTGCGAAATAACAGTGAGAAATAATTTATGCCACTCATACACCAATGATTTAACGGACCAACAGCTAGTAACTTTTTTTGCACATCGGTCTCTTCGAGCAAGATGTTCAGCATGCAAGGTATGACGGTGTAGGCTATCAGAGCGTAGCAGATGATTATCGATATAGTTGCAACCACCTTTTCTCTTATTGTCGTTGAAGTTGAGCTTGGCCAAGCGCCCACCGGTATTAGGAACCAACGATTCATCTGAATACTATAATCGCTCGCGTCCCGATAAGACGTGACAAGTTTACTGACATTCATGGTTACTCTTGGAACTCGCGGATGCTACTGAATCGACTTGAACACGCGTGCAGTTGACAAGAAGTGGCGCCTGCGCTAGCGAGTAACTTAGTAATAGGTAATAATAGGATATTTGTGCGTCTCATCAGTCGATCGATACTCATGGAGTGCATGCACTACGCTGCATGAGGGATCTCCTAAACGAATTGACTGTGACTTGTAATCGCGAAAACATTAATTTACTATATCTTTTTATTTACTGTATTCAGGTATGAAAATTTTATATACAATATAATTCAGATTAGTATGTAAATATTAGTTCCTGCGTTTCGTTGTTTTTGAGAAATATTAGCAAAGAAGAAATATTTTTTAGACGAATAGCCGTAGTTTCAAACAAGCACTATTTTTTTTTATAAACGCTTATAAATGCTCTCTCGTAAGAGATATTTATCTTTTTTATGTTAACAATATTTTTCTGTTTATTAAAACGCAACGGTACTATATGTGCCTTTAAAAAATATATCATTGTATATATTTGCAGTTTTTTATTTATTAAATATATCTCTATTATTTCTCTATTATATCACATTTGTTCTATACAAAATATATTTGCGATATTCGTTCGATAACTTAACATATGTAATTCACGTAGTAGGAGTCATCGTTCGTAATATATTCAAATATATCACAGAAGTTTTAATTACCTGAAACAACAATGTCTTCCTTCCTATTTACGATATAATTTTTCACATTTTGCTTAAGCAGTAAAATGTCACTTATAAGATTAAACGAAGAGAAATTTGAAGGAAAATTTTATAATAATTTGTAGAAAATGTGTTGAATTTTTATTTGTACAACGTCATTATAAATTCGTTTTACTTACATCACCAAAAGTTGCGATAGACAATTGAAATAATTTTCCAGCGGTAATCTTGATAACATTACTCGAACGCGCTATTACCAAAATGAGACCAAGAGCAGTTTTGTGAGGTAATTCATACCAATTAGTCATATATGCCTTTTCGCCAACATTTTTGCACTAATAAATAAATTAATGTAGATATACTAAATTTTTCTATAATAAGCGGTTTTTTTGCTCTTAAAAATGCAAAAGAAAAATTAAAAAACATACTCATAAGACACCAAACTCAAATCATTTTTTTAAACATTAGGATTTTAAGCAACGTCACACGTCCAATATGGTCATCTTAATAAGAATAAGGATCTGTGCACAATCCGGGAATAGGAATAGTTAATACAGGAACAGAAATACAGAATAAGAATTTCAATCAATCAGAAGCGATATACTATGGAATACACAGTTTCTGATTGGTCAAAAATCGTATTATCTGTTTCTGTTTCTATTTTTTGTTCCTATTCCTTGATTGTACGCAGTCCCTTATTCTATTGAAATGACCATATTGGATGTATAACGTCACAACTTAAGATCCCAATAAAACCGTTAAATTGCAGTATTTTTAACCATAATAATTTTGATGACTTTAAATAATACTCATCAATTTCGAGAAATTACCTGTTCCGTGAGAATTTCACCGATGTAACAAAATATAAAGATATTGAAAGCCATAGATACGTATACGATAATATACGATGTTATTCTTGCGGCATCAAAGTCACTCCAATTCTGAAAAATCAAAAATTAGATTTAACATTTCATAAATAAAGAAATTATAAATTGCTGATAGCATGTATTCACCTTTTTAGGTCTTTAGCATACCGTAATAGAATAATATGCAAGTAAACACATATTCATCGTGCATCCCACCAATTCCACGAGACAGATGTTTTGCATGATACTCTCCATTCGCGATATAAAACTGGAAAGTATATACATAAATCCAACGTATTTTTACATTTATAATAAAAATACATCGTTTGAATTTGATAAATGCTTTTGCACATATCTTATACAAATATTATGAATATCGGTAAAGGAAATGACTATGTAATTAAATAGTGTCTTGTATGGTAAAGATACATAAATACAGTTGAAGTTCTATATTTAAAATACCTTAGTACTCTTAAATGATGTTCCACAATCGTAGCCAGCTTCTTTTCGGCAAAACTGTTTCCCTTATTCTCCTCTTCGACGAGATCGTTTAACCATGCAAATAGCATACTTAACTGGCCATAAGCATGCATTGCAAAAACTGCCGCGAGGCTGCAAGCACCCACCGTGATCGAGTTCACTATAAAACACGATAGTAATTCTACAGCCAGCATGATCTCGTTCGCAGGGCTGAATCTTGTATCTATAAATTTGCTATATATCGGACAGGTCATCGGGTGCACCGATATAGTTTCGTTGCCGATGATTACATTCATAGATGTAATCGCCTTAGCCACGGTGAAGAGAAACGTTCCGCTCTGCATAAATATCGCACAGAACCCGGCAACGAAGCGGCCGATCTTTGCATATCGCAACATCACATCCTGATCGTCGGTTCTGCGAACCAACTTCCAGTCCATCTCCATGTGCTGCACACATTCGCGGATGTCGTTGCTACGCGTAAGAAGCAACCAATAATTAATCGTGCCCATGATCCAGTGGCTTAGCGGGCCCATCGCGTTCAACTTCATCTGAACGTCTTTTTCTTCCAGTGACACGTATAACATGCATGGTACCATGACGACTGCTATAATGGACGAGCAAGCGAGAACGTGTGCTTGTAGGGACAGTCTCTCCACTGTCGTCGATGTGGTCGCTCGTGGCCAAGCTGCGATTGGCATCAGAAACCAACGGGTAAGTTGAAGACTGTAATCGTTATTACTTCTGTACGTGAATTTGATGCTCGTCAGTATACGCTCGGAGTACATCGTGATCGCTTCGCGGAGGCGCACGATGCACTGACCGCGTCGAACGATGCACCTGTTAAAGCTACGTTTGAACGGGCGCGTGCGCAAATCTTTAGAGCGGTTTGAAGAACGGGCAAAGTAATGTGCGCTTCCTGACAGAGCGCGTGTGATCGATAAATGCTGCGGAAATGTAGCATTGACCTTTTGGCTGAAGAAAATGAGCGGAAATTATATAAGTAGTGGCGCGTAATATTAGTTCTGTTAATTTTCTTTTACTGCTGGGTGTAAATACATGTGAATCGCAATATTATACGATATGTAAGATACATTAGAAAAGAATTAGGATTTCTCTTATTTAATTGATACCTATAATATTTCATACTCACGTATCGATATATTTTCATCTCTGTTTATATTAATCGTTAATCTTTAATTTAGAGAAAGCTGGATGACTTATAACTTTATTGTTCGTTTAAATAGTGTAATTATACAAATTATACTGTGTCCAACATAATTTCTATTTATTAAATAGTTCTCTCTCTATTATATACTATCAGTTCTATACAAAATATATTTTTTATGTTCTAATTTAATATAATTCATGCAGACGGTGTCATCGTTCGCAACATATTCAAATATACCATGGAAGTTTTAATTACCTGAAACAGCAACGTCTTCCTTCCTATTTATGATATAAATTAAAAATCCGGAAAATAAAAATTAATTAAAATGATAAAGAAAAAACAGTTTAAATCGAGCGGTAATAAGATCTTTTATAAAATAAATTGCTAGTTTACAATGTTAATACAACATAAAAATAAAAATAAAATATATAAATATATATTTTATATTTTTTAGAAATTTATAGAAATTTATTTTATAAAAAATCTTATTACTGCTCGATTCAGACCATTTTTTTCTTTATATTTGCATCGAAAAAAACGAGCGAAATCTAATTAATTAAAATGAGTTTCAATACGAGGAGAAGCCTAAGAATATAATTGGAATTGGAGTGCGGCACGTGAACTGGACATAGTAGCTCTCGTTACGCCATTAGAGCCATTAGAAGTTACATATTAGCCATTAGATTAGAGCCATTAGAGGCCGCAGATAGACTGATTTTTTTTTTTAGCTTGAAAGTATATTTGACTATTTTCGTGATAAAAAAATCAGAAGGTTTACGTGAAGCTTTGCTTTTTTGGAAAATTTGCTGCTGAAACTGTTTCATTGACTGCGTTCAGCAGAGAAAGCAGCTTTGCAACGGTTGTAATATTCTTCAATACGATTGGTTTTTGCTTTTGCTTCCTTATAGATTTAATTATGTAGAAGAATTTTACAACAGTTACAAACTGCATTTTTTGCTGAACACAGACAATATGCTTTAAAAAGCTCATAATGAGAAGAAGCTTTAAGTTGAGTGTAAGTACAAAAGATATATAAAAAATAATTAGAATTATTTATAGAAAAATGTTTTATTACTTTTTACTTAAAACTTCTTTGAAACCATCTCAAAACATTAAACTTTTTTAACAGCAGATTTGTTCAAAAGAAAAAAAATGTCACGTACATTCCCTGTTTTTTTTTATCAACCATCATGAAAATCACCGAATTTGCTTGTAAAGACTTTTTTGCTTACAAAAACATTCAGCGACAAAGAAATCCATTACAGCAAAAATTATTGCAATAACATTACAACGATGTAACAATGATTTTCTGCAAGTTTCTATACTGTATGCGATCTGTCAATCCAGTATTATACTACTTGACAGATTTTTTCAAAATAGTTTTGATTTGCGACTCCTAATGGCGCAACTACTTATTAAGTCTAGGTGGCGCGTTACACTCGAATTCCGTAAAGCTCTAGATATAATATAAGTACCAAAAGTGCACAAAGGTCCTATTTTCGATCTAATAGCTATATCACATATAATAATAACTCTAAACGTTCATTAAACTATAGCTACTAAGTTGAAGATAGCGATTGAAATAGCCAATGGGAATGTTGTCGACATTTCAGCTCACAATCAGATAAAGGATTTGCTACAGGATTGCGCTTCGGTATATCTAGAGCTTTAGAATTCCGATTATTTTTTAGTGTTTTTTCATTTATGATGTTAAACGGAAAAATGCATTCGGTTTAGAAACGTTAATAATATTTTTTATAAAAAATTATAAAGTATATAGAATATATATATATCAATTTTTTTATTAATGCAATTCTTGTTATAAATTTAAATATATTACTTACATCACCGAAAGTTGCAATAGATAACTGAAATAACTTTCCAGCAGTCATTTTGATAACGTTACTCGATCGTGCTATTACCAATATAAGTCCAAGAGCAGTTTTGTGCGGTAATTCATACCAATTAATCATATATATTTTTTCGCCGACATTCTTGCACTAATAAATTTGAACTTTAGTTTTTTATTAATATGTAAAAACGTTGAAAATAGTCAAAGAAATATTACAAAATGCGAAAGTTAAATACAAATACAAATTTTCTTGAATAATTGTCAAGTACCTTACTTGTCTTTCAACTATTACCTGTTCTGTGAGAATCTCACCGATGTAACAAAATATAAAAATATTGAAAGCCATAGATAGATATATAATGACATATGATATAGTTTTTGCCGTATCAAACAAGTCCATATTCTGAAACAAAAGTTTAAGATTTTTGGTTAGATATAATAATAAAGAATCTATTTTTTCAATATTCTATGATATATTAAAGAATAATTAAGTTTAATATTTTATGAATACTAAAATCACAGAATGCAATTATATCACATATTCACCTTTCACATTTTTAGCGTACCGTAATAAAATAATATGCAAGTAAACACATATTCATTGTACATCCTAGCAATTCCACGAGACAAATCTGTTGCATAATGGTTTCCATACGTGATATAAAACTAAAACGTGTACAATTGTAGCGTCTGATATATTTCTTTTAAAATAAGAAGAATAAGCTTATGTGAAACTGTTAAATGTATGGTAGAATTTTCGTGAATATTTTAATATGATAAAAAAAAATTATGAAAGCCATTTTCAATGTTTGAACAAAATACCTCAATACTCTCAAGTGATGTTCCACAATAATAGCCAACCTTTGCTCGGCGCATTTGTTTCCCTCTTTATCCACGACGAGATTGTTTAACCACAAAAAGAGCATGTCCAACTGACCGTATGCATGCATTGCAAAGACTGCGTCGAGACTGCAAGCACCCACCGCAACCGAATTCACTATAAAACACGATAACCACTCTACACCCACTATGATTTCATTTGCGGGACTGAATCTCGTATCGATAAATTTGGTGTATATTGGGCAGGTCAATGGGTGCATCGAAACAGTTTCGTTGCCCACGATAAGGATGGTGGTGGACAGCGATTTGGCTATAACGAAGAGGAATGTACCGCTCTGCATGAACACCGCGCAGAATCCGGCGATGAAGCGGCCGATCTTGGCCTGTCGTATCATTATCTGACGATCCTCGACTTTCCGAACAAACCGCCAGTCCGTTTCCATATGCAACACGCACTGGCGAATATCGTCACTACGCATAAGGAGTAAACTGTAATTAATTATACCCATTATCCAGTGGCTCAGCGGACCCATGGTGTTCAATTTCATCTCGATATCTTTCTCCTCCAGTAACACGTATAATAAACATGGCACCATGATGATCATTATGAAAAACGTGCAAATTAAAATGTGCATGTGCGAAAAGAGTTTTTTCACTTTTGTCGCCGTGCTCATTTGCGGCCAAGCACCGATCGGTATTAGAAACCAACGAGTCAATTGAAGACTGTAATCATTATCGCTTTTGTAGGAGAACTTGATGCCCCTTGTTACATGATCGGAATATGTCATGATCATTTTGCGGAGACGCACGATGCACTGACTGCGACAGACGGTGCTCCGGCTGGAGTTACGTTCTATATCGAGCGCCTGCGCGATTCTTTAGAGCGGTTTGGTGAACGGATAGGGTAATGTACTTTGCAAGAGAGACGCGAGCACGACTGATCAATAATTGTTCGCGGAAGTGCTGCGTTGATTTTTTGCGTGGAAAACGAACTTCGAAGAGATTACAAGGCTTCAGCGATATTACAATATTTTATTTTATTAAAAGAATAAACATGGAAAGTTACTTTAAATTACGGATTGTGGTTTAATCTGCATCGCAGAGGAATCGTATCATCATGATCTTATATGAGACTACTATAAATGTAATTTTATACATAAATGAATTAATAATTAAATATTGTAATATAATATTTCTTAATATATGAATTTGTCATTTAAATGTCTTTATTTAAAAATACTATATATAAGTAAACAAATATTGAGATTCTTCTAGATCACATGTAGATTCATGTTGTAACAGTTCGTAACATATTCAGGTAAACAAGAGACGTTTTGATAACCTAAAATGATAACGGTGATCTACTAAAAAATTTAAAGAGAAGTCTATTGAGAGAAAGATACTCACGTCACTAAAAGTTACGAGAGAAAGTTGAACCATTTTTCCAGCAGTTATTTTGATTACGACACTCGATCTTGATATAATCAGGATCAAACTCATGGCTGTTTTATGAGGTAAACGATACCAGTCGGTCATATATGCTATTTCGCCAACTTTTTTACACTAATAAACACTGCACCGTTAAATATAGAAATATATTAACTTGCTAATTTTGCACTAATAATATCGATACTTTTACCTGTTGCGTTAAAATTTCACCTATATAGCAAAATATAAAAATATTAAAACTCATGGATATGTACACGATAATGTACGCCACTATGCCTTTTCTGTCAATCTTATTCCACCACTGAAAGAATCATAATGTATGAAAGATAAGTTTCTTGAGATATAAAGTTTTTTCAGATGTTAAAGAGTCTTATTGAAATAATTTCAACTACCTTTCTACTGTATTCACCTTTTAAGATGATTAGCGTACCGTAATGGAGTAATATCCAAGCATACATAAGTTAAATGTGCATCCAAGTAATTCCACCAGACATATTTGATGCATAACGTCTTCGATACTTCCTATAAATCTAAAATCAAAACTTAACACAATCAGTAAAAACTTTGACAAATCTTAAAAAATTTTTATTGAATATTTATAAATTGACATATATATGATATAAATGATAAAATTTGAACAAACTTTATAATTAAAAATTTTATTTAAGGAAGAATATTACTATCTCCAAATTAAAAATAAATCTCATAAATAAGATATATACAAAATGATTTGAACATTCATGAAGTGTTAAATATTAAATTTAATAGAGGTAAACTTATGTTGATAAAAAGCCTTTTTATATAAAAAAAACATGTTATACATATATTATATTTATATACACACGTAGATTTTTTAAATTATATTTTATTATCTAATATTTAAATCTTGTACTTTTTCTCTCTCCTTCTTTCTCTACCTTAGAACACGTAAGTGGTGATCCACAATATTGGCCAGCCTCTTCTGAACCGGTTCATTTTTTTCCGCATCTTCACCTTCGATGAGTTTGCTTAGACGTAAGATCAAAATATCGAGCTGGCCACATGCATGTATAGCGAAAACAGCGGCTAAACTGCAAGCACTGACGGTGGTGGTGTTCACTATGAAACCCGACAGCATCTGCGTTACAAGAACGATCTCATTTGCCGGACTGAATCTGGTATCTATTAATTTGTTGTAAAAGGCACAAGGTAATTGGAGCATCGGGACGCTCTGATTGTCGCCGATCGACACCATCACTGTCGTCATACCGGACACGATATTGTAAGAAAACACGCCGCCGTGCATGCATATTGCACAGAAACCCGCTACAAATCGACCCAGCTTCGCATTTCTCGCCATAATTTCGCGATCCCGCGATTGCTTAGTAATCTGCCAATCCATTTCCATGTGTTGCATGCATCGGCGTATGTCAGCGCTGCGCAGTAATAAAGAGCAATAATTCAATCCGCCCATGAACCAATGGCTCAGCGGACCGGCCGCTCTTAGTTTCAGTTCGGTATCTTTCTCCTCAAAAAAGATATTTAGTGCGCACGGTATTACGGTGAAGGCTATCAAGAAGTAGCAGATAAATATCAAAATTCGAGATACAGCTTTCTCACTGCTTGAAGTTGTAGGTTCATGCGGCCACGCGCCTATTGGCTTTAGAAACCACCGATTCAGCTGCACGCTGTGATCGTGAAGATCTTTAGTGATCGACCGACACATGATGGCAACGTGATGGCACGACGGCTACTGATCGACTAGGAGCAACGCGACAGCATGACAGCTACTAGTCGATTATTAAAGGCTGGTTCCTGGTTGCTGTAGCGTCTGCGCGAGAAGAAGAGTTCACCGCAAAGACGGTTTTGATCGATTGACCAGTGTCATCGGACTCGTCGCTTCGACAACGTCATTGCGAATGTTTTTGTACGCGAGTCAATGAAAGTGCTCTGTATTAACCATTTGTCATACGCGACGTATAATACATATTCTAAATTGATACATTACAGGAGAAAATGCGTTGCGAGCGAGGAAGCGGAAATTCATGCTGATCGATAATGCAACTTGTTGCTTCGTTCGTCTCCGATGTCTCCTACATTCGCGAAGTTTACATTAAAAGAAAAAACCATAAAAAGGAAAATAGCAATTTTATAATATTTTATGAACTTTGAAATGCATATATTGAGTGAGTATTTCTATGTATTTATATCTTGTACGTTTTTATACATACTTTAATTCTTTATACACTATATATGATAATTTCGATGATTTCGTAAAGATTATACATATTATTATTGATAAGAAAAATGAATTATTACTCAATTTCGACGATTTCGTAAACACTATACATATTATACCAGAAGGTTTGCGGGTTATCGCCGTGTCTTTCTTCATTATTGATGCCAACGTTTCGTGAACCATGCCGTTCCCTTTATCAGAGCGAGAGATGCACTGATAGAAAGATACGGCGATAAACCGTAAACCTTCTGGTATAATTGAAGAAAATACCCGTGAAAGAGCCTCAAAAGCGTAATCAAGAAACTATACATATTATTATTGATAAGAAAAATGAATCACAACTCAAAACTTTGAAATAGTCTCCTATTGCATATCTATATTTAATTGACGTCTATTTAGTATTTTCACGTAATATGTTACATTACAGTACGAAGTATATTTAGATATGCTGCAGAAGTTTTAATTACCTAAAAAAACAATAGATTAAATAAAATAAAGTTCATGAGAGATTATTTTTATTTAATATAAGTTTTTTCTCGAAGTTTTATTACGTTAAATTTTTTTATAAAATAAAAAATTTATAAAAATTTATAATGTATGCTATGCAAAAATACAACGAAGGATGAGTACTAAAAATAACAAAGCCTCATTTTTTATTATAAAAATGTTTGGTGTTGCTGAAATTTGTACTTACATCGCCAAATGTCATTAAGGAAAGATAAATCAATTTTCCAGCAGTAATTTTAATTATAACACGGGATCTCGATATTATTAACACCATACCGAGGGCAGTTTTATGAGGTAAATAGTACCAATTGGTAAAGTAAGCCATTTCGCCAACTTTTCTACACTGCAGTAATTTTATAAATATATAACAAGAATATTTTTGTACAGAATAATGATGAATAATATTTTAAATATTTTTACTATATTCCGAAACATAAGCAGTTTTGTGATTCACTTGCACGCGTTACCTGCTCCGTGATTATTTCACCGATATAACAAAATATAAAAATATTGAAAGATATAGATACGAAAAGAATACCATATGTTGTTATAGTTTTCGTATTTCTTGCATCCCATTCCTGAAATTATAAAACAGATTAGTGTCATAAAAAGGAACAAAATCGTTTTTCCAAAAAAGGGAATATATTACTTTAAAAAGTATATGCATTTATATTAAAAATAAATTTTTATTAATTATATTTTTCATACCTTAATAGAACAGTAACCAAGCAAACACAAATTTAAAGTGCATCCAACTAATTGCACCATGCATATTTGATTCATGATTTTTTCAAAGCGTGATATAAAACTAAAAATATCATAATTATCTCAAATTTTAAGATTTATTTATATTTGGTATTGTAATTATTACAAAAATGCCTTACTGTAACTGAATTAAAGTATACCTTACTTTAGTACACGCAGATGATGCTCAACTATGTTTGCCAGTTTACTCGCAGCGGTTCGCTTTTCCTCGTCTGTCAATTCATTCAACCACGTGTAGAGCACGGTAAATTGACCGCACACATGCATTGCGAAAACCCCAGCAAGACTGCACGCACTAACCATGACGGAATTAGCTATGAAACCTGACAGGAATTGTGTCATTAGCACGATCTCATTCGTCGGATCGTGGCTGATATCTAATAGCTTGCTGTAAAACGGGCAAGGCAATAGTCGCGTCGAAAAAGTCTCATTACCAACCACAGTGATTACCGGCGTTAAACTATTCACTACACTGTAGGAGAACACACCGCAGTGCATGAAAACGGCGCAAAATCCAGCCATAGACCGGCCGAATTTGGCGTATCTAAGCATCGCTCCACGATCCATGTTTCTACGTATTGTGCACCAATCGTTCTTCATGTGCTCGATGCAGCAACGTATGTCTTTGCCGCGCCACAGCAGGGAGGTATAATTTAATGTGCTCATGATCCAATGGCTTACAGGACCCACAAATCTCATCTTGGTATCGAGATCCTGTTCCTCAAGATAGAAGTACATCATGCTAGGAATAACCGTGACAGCTATGAGGACGTAGCATGTTATCTGAATGATTCTCGATAGAAGTCTTTCGCTAATTGTAGTAACACGCGACTCTGGCCAAGCACCGATTGGTTTTAAAAACCAACGATTCAACTGAAGACTATAATCATGATGTTCATTACGGTGATATAAAACCGATGATGGTTTATCAGATTCAGATGTGATCGTCATGATCGTTCTTTAAAAGCACGCAAAATACTGAATATTTTCTCCGTATTATCCCGTTTCTCAGTAGAAACGGAAAAGTCAATATTACGATTGCGCAAGTCTTCATTCAGAGTTGCGTGCAAGAGGCGGTGCATTCTGCTAATCGATAACCACTACTTGTTGCACCGTCAATTGCAAGTAGAGACATGTAGATAATATGCGAACTGTGACGCGTGCAGTACACATTTTGCTTTGTAAGTGAGCATAAGGAATCACTATTTAACTTGCATTGTACTTGTAAAATTTATAAAATTATTTTTTTCTATTGCATATTTTTTAAATACTAACTAAAGATTTATGAAAAACACAAATGAAAAAATAAGTAAGTTATACAAAAATCTACTATTAAAATGCATATTATGCATACCTTTTATGTGTATAATACAAAAGTATAATAATTTTATATAAAATATTTATTATGTGACAGATATACATTTACTCATACAAAATTTACGTTAAAGTTTTAATTTAATCAATATAATAATTTTAAATAAATTTAAGTTATTAATTACTTATAAATTTGATTGTTTTTTTTTAATGTTTAAAAGCTGTGTAAATGTTTATAATGATAAATTATACTTGCCTTAATACTTACAGATGACGCTTGATGGGATTTGCTAATTTTCTTTGAATGATGTCTTTACTTATTTTCTCAATCAGTTCTTCGAGTCGCAACGTACTCGATTGTGTTGCATGCGTATGTCGCAAGTAATGCGGCCAAACCGCACGCATCAACTGTGATGTTGTTCATGATGAGGGACGAAAAGCACTGAAGCGTGAAGAGGACCTCATATACTGAGCTTAAACTTGGTATCTACGATTATATTGAAAAACGGATATGATAAATGATCTATTGCAATCGTTTCATTGTCATCGTGATATTTTTCTCGCTACAAAAAGTATCTCGTAAAAACTACCATTCTGCATGATGAATGCTTAAACGCTTGCCATAAATGTATCTTTCTCTCGCATCATGCCAGTGAGAAATGACAATGGAATCGATATCGAATCGATGTCGATTCGACGTCGAAATCATCAAATCGACGTCGATTCCATTGTCATTTCTTACTGGGAATGCTCTCTTCTAGCGATATCTTCAGTCTCCATATGTTTAATAAATTTATGTATCTGACTCTTTTAACACAATTATAAGCAATTTATACTGTCCGTAAACCAGTAATTTATAGACTCCATGGCCTACAGTTTTAAACGGATATCCTTTTCTTCGAGAAGAATGTATTGTATAGTTTCACAATAAGAATTATCAAGAAGTAACTCATTAATTGAAGGATTACAATGATTTTTCAGAGTTTTTGATAAAATCTCGGTTATCAAACTCTTTCAACTAAACACCTATCAGTTTTAAGATCCAACAATTTAATTGAAGGCTGTAAATTATTATTTTACCTGTAAACGTCTATTTTAGATGAATGCAAAAAGACCGCATTTTATTTTTTATTCGCGGTGAATACGTCAATCAGTCTTTACTTCTGACTATGCATCTCGATGGCAAGTCAAGTAGTTACAGCAGTATATACGCGGACATATGACTTATTCCTCACAGAAAGTACGTTGCTGTGTAGGCTTATTGTGCACAATCGATATTTACAGTACTTGTTGCATATACAGTTTAATATAATATGTAATAAAGATAGGAAATGATTGAATAAGTGCTATCTATCAGTTATAAGTCACGTGAAAACACGATGAATTTTTTATCTGTGAAATATAGATCTTCACCTTAAAAGATATATCTTTCGTTCAGCATATTGACACATATCGTATTCTTTACTTGAATTTCTGCTACTTTTCTTTACTAGTAACCCTATTTTATCTAATATGTTCTTGAGACAAAATATAAATAAAACACAAATAATTATATGCTTCAAATATTAATAAGAAAGTAATGTTAAGATTACATATTAATGGAAAAAAATCAGAAAATTTATAAGTGATTTGTTAAATGAATTGTTAGTTAACATTTATGTCTATCATAAATTTAAAAAATATATAAAATATATTGTATATTTTATGTGTGGGAAATAATTTATTAACATTTTAAAATAATCTTTTATTTTTTAATAAATATATTGTTTTTTTTTAATTATTATTATTAAATTGTAATAGAGAGAAGATTTACATTCATTGCACAGATCAAGCTAAAAGTTATTTTTAAAAACTAGGTATAAAAGACATATTAGATTCTTAAGTAAGTATTAATTTAATGCTTCTTACTTATTGCACTCGGCATTTACAATTTATTTTTTTCTTTTTTCATTCTCATGTAAAATTGGATTTAAAATAAATGTAAAATTGATATACGAGTATGTATGTATTTTATGAAATGGTTACCTCAATCTTACTACTTATAAATATATTGCTGGTTTGATATTATTACTTATTTTGCAACAAATACAATTGACATCAATCATAATTATTATAATTTAATCTACAAAAAATTTTTAAGTAGTTAGTGTACGTAACATATTTAAATAAGCAACCGATGTCTTAATCACCTGTTTAATAAACGTTTATAAATCATGTATATATGTAATTAAAAAATTATTTTATAAAATTCTTACAATTAATTTATATGAATACTTACATCACCGAAACTGCTTATAGATAACTCAATGATATTCCCAGCAGTAAGCTTAACCGATGAATTGGACATCGCTATCATTAGTACAATAGCTAGAGCTTTCTTTCCTGGTAGACGATGCCAATCGATCATGTACGATACTTCACTAACCCTCTTGCACTGTGACGATTAATTTATTTATTACACATATACATTTATTGTTAAATATTGTTTTGTAAGATTTTTATTTTAACTTTTGGTGATATGAAATCAAATACCTGCTCGGCGATAAGTTCACCTATGTAACAAAATATGAACAGATTAAAAATAAAACTTATAAGCAGAACAATATATGTTATGTAAATTTCAAAGTCGTTTTCCCATTCCTGTAATTAAAATTTTTTATTTTTACGCGGAAACATTTTTTGTATACATTATCCTAATATTATATCAGAGTAGTGAGTTTTATCGTATATTGTGCACGATTTGCCTACCATAATTATGTAATATCCAAGTAAACATATATTGAGCGTACATCCTACAACTTCCACAAAAGATACCTTGTGCAATACTTTTTCTGCTAACTCTATAAAACTGCAAAATAATACACGTATGGTTGAGCATATTTTTGGTGCAAGTCACTTTATCAATAAATTTTTCTTGTTTTTTGAAAAATGTTGTTACAATTATAATGCTAGTATTATAGTGAAAAAGAAGCATGAGATGATTAACACGGTATTTTTCATACATTATTATAGGAGATTACAAAAATGTAATGAGGATTTTTAATATACAATACATTTGAGGAAGATAATTGTTATTTTCTGGATAGTAGACTTACCACAAAATTCGTACATGTTCTTGCACAATTATGGCCAGCCTTTCGTCCACGTTATTACCAAAATCCTCTCGCCCGTCCACTAGATACACAATCCACTGCATGAGAATCTCCAAACGACCGTAAGCGTGTACTGCCAAAGCGGCAGTCACACTACAGGCAGCAACTGTGGTGGTTTGCGAAATGATACCTGCCACGAACTGAACCCAAAAGAAAATTTCATTAATTGGACTGTAACGCGTGTCGACGATCTTCCTGGCGACTGGATACACCAGTGGCTGGTACGTCAGATTACTATTTCTCTCTGTAATCTTGCCCACGGCAATCGGCAAAGCTATGTGATAAAACATGACACCACCGTATGAGAAGAACGCGTTGATCACTATGAGACGACGGCTAAATTCCGCATTTCTGATCATCATCACGCGATCGCTATGATACCATGTATTCCTCCAATCGGTTTTAATATGCTCGATACATACACGAATATCTCTCCCACGAAGGGCCAGCAAACTGTACTTCATGATAACCATCACGCAGAAGGTCAACGGTCCAGTGAACTTCAAGATATTGTATGTGTCTTCAACTTCGAGCACGACATAGAAGACGCACGGGATAAAGATAAAAGTCATCATAGCGAGACAAAATACATTTATTAGCACGCGCATATATTTCTTTATCGAAGAAGAGGATTCGAGTGGATTGGGCCAAATGCCAATTGACTTCAGTATCCAACGAAGTTGCTGGATACTTACGTATTTTTCGTGATCGTAAACAGTCACTGTCGGATTTAATTTCTGAATAGGAGATGATTTCCACATTGTTAAAGTACGGAAGCTCAAGTAGTACTGAAAGGATCGAGAGAAGTTAAGGACAGGTGGTCATGTCAAGCGCTTGCGCGTTCAACTTACAAGGAAAGAGCGATCAATCACGTCATGAAGTCGAAGGGTGCATTTTATAGTCATATTGACAGTCATGACAAAAGGGGATTTTTTTCTTCCTCTTCCTTGTATGATATATTGGTCACTGTTCCGTGAATTATGTTCGTAAAACGTACATACATATATTCTCTTTCACAAATATTTTTCGCGAGAGGAATCGGTAAAGGATCACGATATCATTCTTCTTTTATGAATTCTTGAAGTAAAAATATTGCATATATACAAAAAATCATATACACATATATATACACATACATACAGAAAAAATGTTACAGTTGCCACAACCAGAAATAAATGATAACTTTTGCTCATCAATATAATTTGGTTATGATAATATATCTTAACAGTATGATAGACATATCTTAACATCCATAATCGTTAAGATATAGTATTTTATCACAATCGTACTATAGTTCTTACAACTAAAAATGTATTGATGGGCAACTTTTGGTCATGGCAACCAAATAACCGTTTGTTCCATGTACATACGTATTTATAAAATTAGACACACAATTAGATGAATATATACATATTAAATAAATCAGTATTCTGAAATATAATGATCATATTCTGAAATTTAGAGAATTTAATTATAAATAGTGCGAGAAAAAAATTAGAGAAATAAGATACGAAAGAAATATTTTAGAATAAATGTCAGTACATATTTTTATTTATTAAATCTACTTTTTTTTATTTCTTGTCTTTCTTATTCTTATTTAATCATAGATGATTAATCGATTGTATGAAATTACTAGTACCATTTTTTTAATTATATATTATAATAAATGTAATTACATATCGCACGTGCGAGTGTCTACATAGTTAATGCACGTAACATGTTCAAGTAGGCAACTGATGTGTTAATTACCTATTTAGAAAAATAACACATAAGTCGTATGATTTGTAAATAAATTTTTTAAATAATGTTTTACTTACACTACCAAAAGTACTAATGGACAGTTCGATATTCGCTACGGTAAGTTGAACGGACGAATTTGACATAGCATTTATCAAAATGAGAGCAAGACCTTTTTTATCTGGCAAACGATACCAATCAGTCATGTACGATACTTCGCCGATCTTTTTGCACTGCAGGATTGATTTTCTCATTATGTCAATTGTATATATTCATTTTCTTACATAAAAAAAATTTAATTTCCAAAATGCAGATAAATTTCAAATATCATTATGTTTATATTACTTATTGTGCGAATATATATTAATACTTTTAATTTAAAGAAATTACATTTGTAAAATTTAACATTAATAGTGCAGAGATGCTGTTAAAGTAAGAATAATACCTGTTGAGTAACGAGCTCGCCAATATAACAAAATATGAAAACATTGTACACAAGAGACAAAGCAAGAGAGATATATATTAATACGCTAGTTTTATCTTCCCATTCCTGCAACGAAAACATTTCTACATATGAAAACATGTTGTACATATTGTTAAATAAAATTTTAATTGTACTATGTAATTATTTCTAATTTTACTCGAAAAAAAGTTACATTTTTGCGACACGTACTTGTTATACGATATGCATACCATCATAACATAGTATCCACACAAACATATGTTTATCGTACATCCTCCAATTTCCACGAAAGCTATTTCGCTCAAGACCTTATCTGTTAGCGTTATAAAACTGAAAGTCAGCAGACACGTTAGCTTAAGAAATAAAAAAAAGAATGATGTTATCTCTTAAACTGTACATCTTAATAATTCATTAAAACGTTGAGTATACTGACTAAAATCAATCACAAATTTTATTACGTAGCTTACCGTAAGATTCGAATGTGCTGTTGTACAATCATCGTCAATCTTTTATCCATATTGCTACAAAAATCTTCTCGTCCGTCCACTAAATGATCAATCCATTGCGCTAGAACTTTGAGGCGACCGTAAGCGTGCATCGCGAACATAGTAGCCACACTGCAAGCACCAGCTGAAATGGCATGTGCAACTATACCCGACATACATTGCACCCAAAAAAAAATCTCATTAGCGGGACTATATCGTACGTCAATGATCATCTTGGCGACTGGGTATGTCATAGGTCGATACGTCAAGTTTCCGTCTTGAGTTTCCTCCGTAATTTTGAGTTTAAACGGCAGTACGAAATAATAGAACAAAGCACTACTGTACATGAAAAACGCACTGAACATCACGAGGCGGCAGCTGAACTTCGCGTTCCTGATCATGATGATCCGATCGTCACAATGCCGAATGGTCATCCAATCGTCCTTAATTTCCTCGATGCATTTGCGAATATCGTTCTCACGGAAAATCATCGCAAAATATTTTACAAAGACCATCACAAGAAAGAGCAAATGCCCAATGAGCTTCAAGATGTGATATGTGTCGTTTTCTTCAATCACCATGAAGACAGCACAGGGTATGAAAAGAAAACTGATCAGACCAATACAGATTACATTTAGTAAAAAATACATTAATTTTTCTATCCATGAGAGATTGATTGATTTCGGCCAGGCGCCAATTGGCTTTAATATCCAGTGATTCAGTTGGAAGTTCAATTGCATATTTTTTTCGTGATTATAGATAGTCACGATAGAGCTTGATTTCTGCATGGAATTTTCAGATATTGTTCAAGTACGAGAACACGACTACTACTGAGAGGATGCACGCAAAACTCGGCTGTGAGAAACTAAATGCGACTGCGCCGTTCTTGGTATAATATTTCCTTTACGAGAAAAGGAAAACGATTACGTGAGTATATCAGGATGTCAAAGGGTACATTTTATAGTGTATTGACTTTTGTAAATTGATGAAGGAACGTTCAACTCTTACTATCGAAGCATTATATGCCGTTGTCCATTAATTATTCGCGTAAGACTTATGCTGTGCTGTCCGCACAGTTGTTTTGCAAGCAGACAAGAGCAAGTCTAAGGCGGAAATGTGAAAAGTGAAGCCTTGAATGATAATGAAAAAATTTTTATCCTAAAGATAAAATCATATGATCGTAAATCATACGTAGGAGAAAAGCGGCTAAAACTACGTGCACGTACAATAAACAAATTTTGCTATATATTTGTATAATTCAATTAATAATAAAAAATAATAAAAAGAAATATTCTCTTTGCTTTAATATAATATTCGTACAATAAATTAATTTATTTTTAATAATAAGATTTAAATTGAAATTATTAACAATATATATATATACTAAACAATTTATTAAAACCGTATAAATACACCAAAAGAGTTTAAATAGTTAGTTGCGTATGCAAGTCCGAAGAAGAACCAATTCGGCGTGCAATTCTAATGATTACATATGATATATAAATTCCCATAGAAATTATTTAAGGGAATATTGGAACCATCTGTATTAAATAAACTAGCGTTTTTGACGTTTTCGTTCCTGTTCAATTTCTTCACAAAATCACAGATTTTTTAATCCATTTTATCTCAATACGGCAACCAACGTTGAAGGTAAAAATGAATAAAGAAATCTGTAATTTTTTATTTTTTCCAGCTTTGGACACGAAATACACCAGGGACAGGTTTATTAGTATGTATATTTTAATCGTGGAGAAGAAATTTTTATTCTATGCAACTATATACTACGAAGAAATTGGACAAGAACGAAAACAAAAAACGCTAGATTTATAAAGCCATTATATATACTCATTACATATTCGTGTTAGAGCAAGACTATACTGGATAAGAGTACATTGTAAAAAACTAAATTTTAATAAATATATCTTTGAATATTGTCCTAGCGGAATATTTAATAAAGGTAAGCACATATTTATTAGATCCAAGAACCATTAATTTGATTCAACTATCATTTTTTTTTCATTTATTTAAATATTTATTTACCTTAAGTAAATGTTCCGCTAGAACTATTCAAAGAAATATTTACTGAAATTTAACAAATTTGTTTCTCAGTGTACGTGGAAACAAGAATACATACCTATTCTTAACTTACTTTAAAGCGCATTGCATACTTTTAGACAATATGTAATTACAACGACTTGACTCTACTTGACAAGGACTGTATCATGTAAAGAAATAACTGACATATATTGAAATATATATTGAAGAATATTATATGTATATATACTATTTTATAAATAAAAAAAGCATTATCTTTTAAGTGTACGAGAAAATGTCTTGATTAGCAATCAGACACTTAAGACCTAGAAAGAAAAAATTAATAACATTAATTTTTATTCCTAATTCTCAAAAAAAATCAATCAATAGAATTCATTTTCTGCAACTTTATCCATATTGATAAAGTTTCATAATATAGTTATGCTAACCGAAAACTATTATCTACATCAAGATATTAACCATGCATACTTTTAGCCACCTTTGCTCTATACTTCTATATCATAGTATAGAATCTCTCTCTCTCTCTCTGAGCATATAGAGTTTATTTATATTTATAGTATGTTATTTTTCTATCATTACATTAATTTTTATTTCTAATTCTCAAAAAAAATCAATCAATAGAATTCATTTTCTGCAACTTTATCCACATTGATAAAGTTTCATAATATAGTTATGCCGAAAACTATAACCGAAAACATCAAGATATTAACCATGCATACTTTTAGCCACCTTTGCTCTATACTTCTATATCATAGCATAGAGTCTCTCTCTCTCTCTGAGCATATAGAGTTTATTTATATTTATAGTATGTTATTTTTCTATCATTTCTATCGTTTGTTGTACATTTGCTGATATATCTATTATCATATATGTCCTTATATGGTTTATACTCTTATGTGTGGATTATATTTATATTACATTTATGTATAAGACACAATTTATATACGAAAAACTTTACATATTTTTGAATATATTTAAATAGAATATTACAAATACTCTCTCATATTTTATCATATAATAT